GATTTCTTTCCTAATTGTGGGGTTGGAGGTAGGTGGAACTGAAGCAGTCTTTTAACAGCAAGCATGTGCGTAGGCAAAACCTCTGCTTCTTCCTGCTTCTGCTTCTTGGTGACCAAGTATGGAGGAGGTGCCATGGTTGATAGCGATGGTTGTCACTTGGCAGAAGAAGAGGCAGACCAAGACTAGACATTGCAGGCGCAGGACCCTGACAGTGACTAGCAGCTACCAGGACAATACGTGGAGTGTGGCTAACTCTGCCAGATATTGACATCACTGCTAAATTCTTCGAAGGCAAGATGCTAAGTGAACTAAAATGGACAGGAATGGGCGAATTCAGCTCAGATGATTATCATATCTACTGTTGTGGGCAAGAATCCTGCAGAAGGAATGAAGTAGCCCTCATAGTCAACAAAAGAGTGGGAAAAGCTGTAATGGGATACAATCTCAAAAATGATAGAATGATGTCAATACGAATCCAAGGCAGACCTTTCAACATCACAGTAATCCAAGTTGATGCACCAACCACCAATGCTGAGGAGACTGAAATTGACCAATTCTATGAAGACTGATAACACCTTCTAGAACTGGCACCAAAGAAAGATGTTCTTCTCATTCTAGGGGACTGGAATGCTAAAGTAGGGAGCCAAGAGATAAAAGGAACAACAGGGAAGTTTGGCCTTGGAGTTCAGAACGAAGCAGGACAAAGGCTAATAGAGTTGTGTCAAGAGAATAAGCTGGTCATCACAAACACTCTTTTCCAACAACACAAGAGGCGACTCTATACATGGAAATCACCAGATGGGCAATATCGAAATCAGATTGATTATATTCTCTGCAGCCAAAGATGGAGAAGCTATATACAGTCAGCAAAAACAAGACCTGGAGCTGACTGCGGCTCTGATCATCAGCTTCTCATAGCAAAATTCAAGCTTAGACTGAAGAGATTAGGAAAAACCACTGGGCCACTCAGGTATAATCTAAACCAAATCCCTTATGAATACACAGTGGAAGTAAAGAACAGATTTAAGGAACTAGATTTGGTGGACAGAGTGCCTGAAGAACTTTGGATAGAGGCTCGTAACATTGTCCAGGAGGCAGCAACAAAAACCATCCCAAAGAAAAGGAAATGCAAGAAAGCAAAGTGGCTGTCCAACGAGGCCTTAGAAATAGCAGAGAGGAGAAGGGAAACAAAATGCAAGGGAGATAGGGAAAGTTACAGAAACTTGAATGCAGACTTCCAAAGAATAGCAAGGAGAGACAAGAGGGCCTTCTTAAATGAACAATGCAAAGAAATAGAGGAAGATAACAGAAAAGGAAAGACCAGAGAGCTGTTCAGGAAAATTGGAGATATTAGAGGAACATTTTGCGCAAAGATGAACATGATAAAAGACAAAAATGGGAAGGACCTAACAGAAGCAGAAGACGTCAAGAAGAGGTGGCAAGAATACACAGAGGAATTATATCAGAAAGATGTGGATATCCCGGACAACCCAGACAATGTAGTTGCTGACCTTGAGCCAGACATCCTGGAGAGCGAAGTCAAGTGGGCCTTAGAAAGCCTGGCTAACAACAAGGCCAGTGGAGGTGATGGCATTCCAATTGAACTATTTAAAATCTTGAAAGATGATGCTGTTAAGGTGCTACATTCAATATGCCAGCAAGTTTGGAAAACTCAACAGTGGCCAGAGGATTGGAAAAGATCAGTCTACATCCCAATCCCAAAGAAAGGCAGTGCCAAAGAATGCTCCAACTACCGTACAATTGCACTCATTTCACACGCTAGCAAGGTTATGCTCAAAATCCTACAAGGTAGGCTTCAGCAGTATGTGGACCGAGAACTCCCAGAAGTACAAGCTGGATTCCGAAGAGGCAGAGGAACTCGAGACCAAATTGCTAACTTGCGCTGGATTATGGAGAAAGCCAGAGAGTTCCAGAAAAATATCTACTTCTGCTTCATTGACTATGCAAAAGCCTTTGACTGTGTGGACCACAGCAAACTATGGCAAGTTCTTAAAGAAATGGGAGTGCCTGACCACCTTATCCATCTCCTGAGAAACCTATATGTGGGACAGGAAGCAACAGTTAGAACTGGTCATGGAACAACTGAGTGGTTCAAAATTGGGAAAGGAGTACGGCAAGGCTGTATATTGTCCCCCAGCTTATTTAACTTATATGCAGAATACATCATGCGGCTCTATGAAATCTTCTTGTTTCGGTACCATCGGACTTTTTACTTTCTTGGGCTCCATGATCACTGGAGATGGAGACAGCAGCCACGAAATTAAAAGACGCTTGCTTCTTGGGAGGAAAGCGATGACAAACCTTGACAGCATCTTAAAAAGCAGAGACATCACCTTGCCAACAAAAGTCCGAATAGTCAAGGCTATGGTTTTTCCTGTAGTGATGTATGGAAGTGAGAGCTGGACCATAAAGAAAGCTGACCGCCGAAGAATTGATGCCTTTGAATTGTGGTGCTGGAGGAGGCTCTTGAGAGTCCCCTGGACTGCAAGGAGAACAAACCCTTCAATTCTAAAGGAAATCAACCCTGAGTGCTCACTGGAAGGACAGATCCTGAAGCTGAGGCTCCAGTACTTTGGCCATCTCACGAGAAGAGAAGACTCCTTGGAAAAGACCTTGATGTTGGGAAAGTGTGACGGCAAGAGGAGAAGGGGACGACAGAGGATCAGATGGCTGGACAGTGTCTGCGAAGCAACCAACATGAATTTGACACAACTACGGGAGGCAGTGGAAGATAGGAGGGCCTGGCGTGCTCTAGTCCATGAGGTCATGAAGAGTTGGACACGACTAAACGACTAAACAACGACGACTCATGTGCTGCTTGTGGGTAGCTACTTGACCACTTTATGAATAGAACAAAGGACTAGATAAATCTGGGTGATTCAGGAGAGGCTCTTATGTTCTAAGCTCTCTCCAACCTTTGTAGTCTATGTTACCCAAAAGTATCATTTAGGTTCCAAGCAAAGCTTCTCATCAAACAGGAAGCTGTCCCTCAGCTGCCACTTAGTGGTGGCAGTCAAATAATTCAGTCCCTCCAACCCTGCATACATGATAACTCTTTGCCAGCGACTGAATATAAACAATTATATCTGAACTCATTGTGATTTTAAAAACCCCAAGATAAATCCAACAATTTGGAACATGTTTTAAGCCCACAACAGCAAGAAATTATAGTTATGAAAACTGTAAGGTTCCCAAGCAAGAACTGTACTGGGTTTGCTGTGATTGCGGCTTTAATATTACAGTATAATTAGGTGTTTAAACCAGCTTTTTTGGTTTGGTGTTACAGTTCTGGACATGGATGATGCTTTCTGAATTCTGCGGGAACAGGAAATCCTGGGAGGAGTGGTAGGTTTTTTTGAGGGGTACCTCTAATGAACAGAGAGACTGTGTCCCCTAGTTTTGAATTCTGGTAGTTGTAAAGATTTTTTTTAAATTCCATGCCTGTAAATAGAGATGGGCATGAATCAGAAAAATTGATTTGTTTTGATTAATGATTTGTCAAGGTCAACAAATGACAAATTTATGATTTTTGTTCTGATGAATTGATTCGTTAATTTATTTTTTAATTTGAAACCTTCTAAAATGCCTGCAAGATCCTAGAGACACCAGATTCACAGGGAAGCTGCCTCTGACACTCCTCTACGAGCCTGAAAAATTTGGTGATATTTGGGTTTTGGATGTCTGGGTTATACACCCATAAGGAGCCCCCCCCAAAGTCTCCCTCAGGCTCCTAGAGACACGAAAATCACAGAGAAGCTTCCCATGACTCTCTACAGTCCCTCCAAGTTTGGTGAAGGTGGAGTTTCAGACATCCAAGTTATACACTTACATAGTGGGTCCCTCCAGGAATGTGCCCTTTAGCTGCTGGCTTAGGGAAGCCCAATCTTCAACAAGCATGGAGGGATTGTATAGAAGGGTCAGAGGAAGGTTCTCTGCAATTTTGCTGTCTCTAGGTGCCATGGGGGCCCTTTTATAGCCAAATGAATAAATGAATTGAAGATCGCTAAAATTAATTGATTCATGATTCGTTGGGGCATTGATTTGTACTAATACGAATCAATGAATTAGCTATTTGGGGATAATTTCATGATTCATTCTTAAATTCATGCCTAATATACAAAACAAAGAGCAAAATATAGTTTGTTTAGCCATTCCTTCTCTAAGTATTTGGTGATGTGAATCAGCACACAGCTCAGAACCAACGAACTATAGTTCCTGCAGTTCCTTTATTTGCCATATTGTGCAAACTGGCCCAGTGTTGCGGTTACTGCAGCTTCTGATTTCACTATCAATACTTACTTGAAAGCTTTCTAATAGTCAGGGAATAAATCAGGGAAAATGTAGACACTAACATGAAGAGGACAGTAGGATATTTATGTATGTATGTATGTATGTATTATGTATGTATGTATGTATGTATGTATGTATGTATGTATGTATGTATGTATGTATGTATGTATGTATGTATGTAATATCCCACCTATCTGGTCTTGCGGCCACTCTAGGCAACTTCCAAACAGATAAAAAACAACATATAAATGTAACAAAATGAAGAAAAAAATTTAAATCAATAAATAGATTCTTCAAGATGGAAAAGAATAACAGAGGGTAAATGAAGAAGGGAAAGTTAAGTATTAACTGGAGGGAAGGCCTGCTTAAACATCCAAGTTTTTAATTGGTTCTTAAAAATACCCAGCGATGGGGCCGCACGAATCTCTGGAGGGAGATTGTTCCAGAGGCGAGAAGCCACCGCCGAGAAGGCCTGGTTTCTCGTTTTTCCTTCTGGGCCTCCCTCAGCGTCAGGCTCCTCAGCCTCACCTCCTGACCTGATCAAGTGATACGGGTAGATCTTGGTGCCAGGGAACCATGAAAGGAATGGTGAACCTCAAGAAGCTCTTGTACCTTGAATCAATGCATCATTACTGTGAACTAAAATTTCCCAGTAGCTTAATTCTTTCCTTTTCTTTCCTCCTTCAAAGCTCTCCATGAATTTCCCAGTGACATCTTTACAAATGAAGACCGGCGACATGGAGCAGTACTTTTGCATGCATTCTGTGTGAGTCCTGGTTTGCCTATCTATATATTATGTTGTTTGCTTGTTGTGGTTTTTAAAATGATTTTGTCATAGACAAAGTCAAAATGAAATGTGAAAACAGCAATAACAATTAATAATGTTCAACAGCAATTTTTGGTATTCGATACCTTCAGAAATAATAAATATATTCTGACTTTTCAGTTTTTCAGTAGAAAAAAAATACAGTGGTGCCTCGCTTAACGGGCGCTCCGTTTAGCGATGAAATCGCTTAGCGATGACTTTTTTGGAGCGTTTTTGTGCTTCGTTTAGCGATGGTCCCTATGGGCGATTTTCGCTTAGCGATGGTTGGGACCATGCTTCGCATAGCAATTAAATTTTGGGTCCCCTGTTTCGCTTAATGATGGTTTAAACAGCCTCATGTTTGCTGTTTTTTAAATGTTTTTCTGTTATTTATAAAGTTACAATTTACTGTTTAAAATGTTTGAAATCATAAAATGCACTTAATAAACCCTTTGTTAACCAAATTTGACTTTGTTCTTGACTTTTGATTTGTTGTTGTATTTTTTCCCCCATTGAGATGCATTGAATAGGTTTCAATGCATTTCAGTTGGGGAACCGCGTTTTGCTTAGCGATGTTTCCTATGGCGATTTTCACTTAAGGATGGCAATTCGTTCGTATTGGAATGGATTATCCGGTTTTCAATGCATTTCAATGGGAAACTGCATTTCGCTTAGCGATGAAATCGCTTAGCAGTGATTTTTCGGAACAAATTAACATTGCTAAGTGAGGCACCACTGTATTTTAAAAACCTGTGGTTATCACCACAAATGAAATACTCATTTTTTAAACTGTTCTCATTCTTACCAGAAGTAAATTGTTCACAATGTACTTATAGGAATGGTTATTATCCTCTCTTGGGCTTATTATTTTCTGTATCTTATGTCAACATAACCATTTTTTTTTCGTTTAGAGAATCACTGACTCTTCTTTTAATCTATTGTGAGTTGACCCTCAGTTATACCGAGCTGAATATACCTATTATGTCAATATACAGACTTCACAGTTGGTTCAGTCATTGAATTCTAGACAGAATCTGTACCTTGCTGTTATGAGTCTTCTCCTTATAGCACAGAGAATTTGGTATGGAGAGTGAAAGACCATTTAGTTGGCTATTAGTAGGCCCTTGGGCTGATCCAAGGGCCTACTAATGTACTTACATGAGCCACTCAAGAAGGAAAAGTTGGAAGATGAAATGACTGCATCATTTCTCCAGACACAAACATTGTTCCATAATTCTTCCTACACCACCCAGCAGCCCATCATTTCCTCAGTTTGGTGACATTTGATATCTTCTTCTTCCCTTATTCTGCATATTTTACTGTGTTCACACGGAACGTTCTGTCTGGTAACTTCCCAGCTCTCTAGAAGGTGATTAGCCAGCTATCTATCTTTAGATCTGAAAGGCAAAAAGCTCAGAATATTCTGCCAGATATTCATTAACCTCAGTGTGGCCTCCAAGATTTAAGAAGTTGCATACAGCCTCTGCAATGTATGTTAGAAAAATAATAACCATGCCAAGAAGCAACACAGCTCTGGCCATATAGATATTACTCTTTGATTGCCAGATACCTCCTACTCTCCAGAGGCATATCTTACTTGATGGAAATATCTCTTAGTTCATAAGCTAGATCCACAAAATATTAGAAATGTCCCATCAAAACTCCTTGCCTTCTCCACAGATATCACAGAAGGACCTGTTCCTACTCTTTTCAGGACAGCTCAGAACATGAGTACTGTAAGCTTTTATATTAATGATTTAGGAATAAGTCACTCTCAGTCAATTATAGTGTGGTCCAGCAGGAATTAGAAGTTTCAGCTAGCAATAATACCAACAAGAATATCTCCTAGCTTCTCTGTGGTTTTTTAAATTAACATTTTTATACTTTCATAAGAATACAAAGAGCAAGAAAACAATTATAATAACTGGAAAATGGTTACGTAGCATGCCGTCTATCAAATTTATAATACAGAGGTAGATAAAATTTTATTACGGTCAAAAGACCAGCCACAAATAAAACATCCAAAATACATAAATACACAGAAATATAAAGTGGTGTCCTGCTTGACGACGACCTCGCTAGAAGATGAAATCGCTTTACGATGACTTTTTTGCGACCACTATAGCGATCGCAAAACGATGTTTCTATGGTGTGTTTTTTTTCACTTTACGTCGTTTCGGTCCCTGCTTCGAGAACCTTTTTTTTTGGTGGACGACGATTAAAAACAGCTGATCGGCTCTTCGCAAAATGGCTCCCTGCTGTTTTCCGGACCTATTTTCACAACACAGGGATCGTAAAATGGCCACCCTATGGAGGATCTTTGCTGCACAATCAGGTATTTCCCCCATTGGAATGCATTAACCAGTTTTCAATGCATTCCAATGTGTGTTGTTTTTTTTTTTCACTTCATGATGATTTCGCTTAACAGCAATTTTCCTGGAACGGGTTATCATCATCAAGCAGGGCACCACTGTACAAAAATATTGGGATCGAATGGAAAGCATTAGTCGGTTCTGAGGTGAATAGCAGTGTCAAAACATCTCCCCGAAGCAATTCCAAAATGTCTAGCAAACCATGCTCTGACTACAGAAGCTCGTATAATAAACAATGTGTGTTTTCAAATGAAGTTCATACTCCTGTACAAAAAAGTCACATTTGGTTTTTTTTCAAGAGCCAATAAAAGTATTTATCTCTGTATGTGTGTCTTTGCTGTTGCTTCAATACCTGAACACCTGAAATATGGCCTAAAGGTGCTCAATCCATGTTTATATTGATTTTAAAACAGAGTAATTAATTTTGACAACCATAAAAGCAAACCACCACCACCCCAAGTATAGCACCACGTTTATTTCTGTGTAATCTTTCATTTACTTTCTCAGGTCTCTGAAGTAGTGGATGGTATCCGTGAATGCACACTCTGAAATGAATGTGTTATGCATTCATTTTGTTCCTGTTGCTGCAGTGCTGAAACAGACTACTACCTCTCTGAATACTAAATAACTTTAGTTAGTTAAAAACTCTATCTCGCAGCTCTGTCTTCAGTCACCATGTGGCAGACTTCCCAATTCTTCCCTAATCAACAAAGTAGAAAATGCAGTCAGGTCCAGGGTATTCATTTCTCCAGACAGCTTCTGCTTTCTCTGGGCAGCTCCATATAGTGCTTCCCTTTGCAAGTTCCCCAAACTGTTCCAGTGGGTAAAGAACAGAGATGGAGAATGTGAGAAGGCCCTAATGCCTGGTAAAAGAGGGGGACATGGAGGAGATGGAAAGGCTGAAGGAACATGAGGGTGGAGGGTGTGAGGACCAGCAAGAAAGGAAAATAGGTTTGGAGGAAGGAGAAGAGAAAGCACAGAAGGAAAGAAACACACGGAGCAGTGGCATAGTGAGAAAGTAAGGGACGTTTAACACTTGTGAAACTTGGAAGTTCTAGTACACACACAAAAAAAAACACCGAATTTGTGTTAATAATCACATAGTAATATTGCTGATCCAAAAGTGTTTGCATTGTGATGATGATAATAAATTGACTGTTTGTTCAGTTATTAAAAGAGCAAATTTTGTTCTTCTAATTAAACTAAATCTCAGGAGAAATGAATGGATCAATTCTTCCATCAGATGTTGATACTATGAATCTGTGAATCTTTGAGGAATGATTTGTGCTAGGCGTTTGTTAAAGTTTGAAATGAGTAGGCTGAATTCTCTGTAGAATAGGTAGGCTTTTTGATGCTGCTAATTTTATCTATGTTTCCAGCAATTCAATAGTGATGTATTATTATTTTTTTGTTATTTTAGACCGCTATGTTTGTTGCATATTTTTGTATGCTTTAATCACATTATAAGCCATTCTGGGTGTCCTTGGACAGAAGAACAGTATATAAAAGTAAAAAATAAAGTAATTAATAAATAACTGTACAGATTTAACCATGTTGCTATATAATTGTAATCAGTAACTGTAATGTGGAGAGAAGACTAAAGATCTAGCTGGAAATTTGACTTATTTTTTAGTGAAATCTTATTAGCAGGATATTCTGCTAATACTTCCAAAATTGGTGCCACCAAAAAAAGTCCTTGCTTAGACTTTCCAGACATGATGACAAGTAATGGAAGCTGGATAAAGCATAGCCCAGTTTCACAAAGTAAGTTACTTTGCCACTGGAAAGTGTCTAGAAACTCAGTCATAATAATAATAATTTATTGTCATTGTAAGTATATACACAGTATACCCATACAACGAAATTCACATGGTCATGGTCACAGGGATAACATAACCCCCCTTACAGCAGCTCCACTTGTTCCAGCTCATTTCCAGGCGCAGTTCAAAGTGCTGGTTCTAATCTATAAAGCCATAAACAGCTTGAGCCCAAACTATCTTGAGCACCACATTTCCCTTTAACACTGCTTGAGTGTTAAAATCATTAGGAGAAGCCTTTCTCTCAGTCCTGCCATCTTCACAGATGTGTTTGGTGGGTACACGGGAGAGGACCTCATCTGTTGCTGCCCTTAGACTTTGGAACTCCCTCCTTCAGGATCCAGGCTGGCCCCATCTTTCTGTCCTTTTTGAATCAGGAAAAGATCTTTCTTTTCAGGCTAGCTTTCACTTAGTGACTGAGTGTGGTTTTTAAATGGATTGTTGTATCTTACTGCTTTGAATGTGTTTTGCTGTTCCTTAAGTTTTTAGTATGGTACTGTATTTGTTTGATTTTTTTGTATCTGTATACTTTCTGCTAGCTTTAATATCATCTTTTAATTATGTTAAGGCACCTTGGGTCCTTTTTCAGGAGAAAGGCAGGCTAAAATATTTTAAATAAATAAATAGGTTCTTCAGATTTCTTGTATCTACATTAGATCATCATACAAGCTCATGTTTAAACAGGTAGAAATTCCAAGTGTTAGAGCATCCTGTGATCTGAGCAGGCGTGGAGCCCTATGCCCTCTTCTGCTCTGTCTGATGAGCCATCTCC